GAAATAAACAGAAGTCGCAATAGGTGAGCCATATCTGACGAATTTAAAGCGGACGAGGTAGCGAGCTCGTAAATTTTGGACATTTGGCAACGGTTGTGAAGTTGTTGTCAAGAATCAACTGGAGAGAGCGTTTACGCTTTGGCGAGCCGTCGCGCGAATACTCGTTCTTCCGAAGAATGAGAAACTTTGTCGACAACGACAACAGCGCAACGTAATATCCATTGTTGTTTCACATTCCACGCGTCATATCTCAGATACTTATCGCTCCTCCTAACTTAATTACACAAATTAGCGTGAGTTAAAAAAAAAAAAAAAAAAAAAAAAAAAACAAATTACAATATTCGTTCGTTTGTTACACACGTGTCGCGTGTAATGAGAGCGAAGGAATTGCTTCGGGGAAAATTGCCGTCATTGATTTTTCGGAGCGCGAAATGATAAAAGAAAAACAAAATTGACGACGGAATCGAATTCGAAACCGAGAAAAGAGAAGTCGAGAAGCGTTGAATGGCGAGATAAGTAAGTTCTCGTGCGTGGAAAACGCGTTCGCGCTAATATAAAAAAGTCTCGTTCGCAAGAAAGGTGCTGTGAAAAAGAAAGCGGAGCGCACGCCGCCGCCGCCGCGCGGAATTGGCTATACGAGACGAGGGAACGGAACGAGGGAGAGAACGAATAGCTTTTATTTGATTGTAGAAGCTGTACACGGGGAGGGTAGAAGCGCGCGCGCGCGCGTGGGCGGTGATGGTGGCGGGAAGACCGACCTTGACCCGACAGTGGAAAGGTTCAAATCAGAAGGTAAACCAATGGGGGGGGGGAAGGAGGGAGAGCCTTGAGAGAGAAGGCAGAAAAGTTGGGCGCGCCGAGTTAGATAGCAGCGGGAATCTTCGTTCACATCTTGGTTTACATGGACTCGCCCTTTTCCACGCGATGTGCATATACCCACACACGTGCTTCGCTTATCTCACCCCCGTTCGCGTCTTTTTTGTCTTCCCCGTCTTACTTCACATCGTTACCGTGTGTGTCGCGGCGGTGTGTGTGTGTGTGCGTGCGTATATATATGAAACGATGTGGGGGAAGAAAAAAAAGACGCAAACTGAGGGAAAAAACTTAATTTGCGAAAACTTTTAAGACCGTACGATAACAGGTGTCGTGTCCCGTTTAATAAAACGAGAGATTGTTTTTAACTTCGGAGCACATCGTCACGCGGTGTCCCGCTTTATTCTGAGAAAGAAGATCAGAGATTATTTCGCGAAATCCTTCTGCGCAATTTGTTGCGTGCCACTTTGTATTTCTCTCGCAATTGCGCGCTTCTTAAAAACTTGAGATCGCTTGGCGTTACAGGGGGGTGAGTGTGTAGCATGTTGAGACGAATTGTTTTTACGCGTTACACGCGTAGTAAGATTTTTATTTTCGACGACGCGGAAGAGATCCACCTCGACGCGCGATTTATCAACGCGCACGTGGTGCTCGCATTGCGGCAAAATTATCTTTATTTGTGTCTCGCACGTTTTTTTTTTTTCTGGTGTTACACGTGTTAATGAGGCGTCTATTTTTCCTTTCTCCTTTTTTTTTTGAAAAAATAATCGGGGGTTATAAAAAATTGCTCATCAAAAGAGAGAATTGATCAAGCAAATTAAACGCCACACCACGTGCGCTCGTCCGAAGTCAAATATTGTTTTCCCGCAAACGTTCGTGTAATGTACGCGCGCAAGATAAATATAACACTTTCAACATATCGTTTCTAATACGTCCGTATTTATTATTTGACAATATTTCACATTGGCTTTGCGCGCTCAATTGGCTCCAAAAAAACAAAGAAACAAAAATTATTTTATCGACACACGTTTGTGAGCGAGCAAATAAGAGATCCGTCACTCGATTTGACACGGCAGTCAAAGCGAGTTAATTTTGTTTTTTGCGATTAAAATTTTCTTGCCAATTCTCGTTGCCGAGCCCTTGTCTGGGTATCAGGGACCCAGAGCGAATAAATAAAACCGTTTACGATATTCGTCTCGACGTCCGGTCGATTCGCGATAGGAAATTGCTGCGGCTTCTTCGACGCCGGTTCGATTCCAGCGTCGAAATAGTGCTCGGGCACTTCACTTATCTCTCGGTTGCAAAGAGCAAAAAGAGATAGAAAAAAAAGAGAGACAGATGAAAGAGAACGGGAGAAAGAGAGGACACAAAGAGAGCGCGTTGCCAGTAGCGCTGGTAGAGATAAGTTTTATTGCAGTTTATTCCGTCCAACAACGCGCGCGTTTCTCTTTTCTTATATCCCGTACTTTATTTAGATCCCAAATGATCTCAAGATGTCTGCGTTTTTTTTTTTTTTTTCGAGAAGATCCTAGGTCAGTCTATTTTCGGGGAATTGAAGCGGATAATAGAGACTTATGTGGACGCGCGTTCTACCGTGAAGGGAATAAATTTTCTCCGGAAAACAAAGTCCCATGTTTTTTTGTGTGCGACTACCAAAAGTGATCAGATCAACTGCAAAATTGAGAGAAGAGAAAGAGAGGAGAGACATTCTACTCGGAGAGAATTTATTCGGTCGGAGAGAATTTATTTAAACCACTGTCTAAACTTTTACATCAAAATCGATCGAGTAAAGTTTTTGCGGCGCTTGATAAATATATTCAGTTCGACTAATTTCCGTCTCGCTCGAGCGATCGTGTACGTGCTATTTTCGACGGAACATAATGTACGCACGTGTGTGTTCGACATGACGTGGCTGTGTGTCAGATTCTTCTTCGCTCGCAACGCCGAGCTTTTCGTGCGATTACTAATCGAGGGAGAAATGTAATTGGAAAGATTTGTCAGAAAAAAAAAAAAAAGAATGTATCACCCGGGGGAGATCATCAAGGGGGAGGTTATTCGATTCCGTCGCGCCCACGTTTTTTTCTCTCAATGATCTCACTCCGAGCGCGAAAAGTCATCTTTCTCGATCCTCCGCCGTTTTAACATGCAGTTTCGATGTGTTCTGTATGCTGTTGCGCGCGACACGAGCAACACGGTGAAACTCTCTCTCTCTCTCTCTCTTTCTCTCGTCGCATCGGAGAGAGATTTTCCATTTGGTTTGTGTGTTCGGCCGAGAGATTCTTTCACAACATACCGAGATACAACATCTGTCACGGAATTATTCGGAATCCGAGTATTTCCCGGGATTTATCTTTGACAAAACAAAACAAAAAAAAAAACAAAAAGAAAGAAAAGAGAAAAAAACAGCGAGCGCGCGTTAATTAATTTATGTGCGCGATATTCCGCGCGAACGATTTCTCTTTACGTCGCGCGGATCTTCTTGCGTTTAGAACAGCGCTTGAATACTTGATGGCGCTTCACGAACGAAATGATCGATCGGCTGACAATATAGTTTCCACTTCCTTCACCATTGTAGTGTGACGTGACTTGTTTAGAATTCGCATCATTTATTCACAAACCGGAACGACGACAACACACACACACACACACACACACGGCGGCTTTAATGTGTTTCGTCGACGAGTTAAAGAACGCCGGCAAAAAAAATTGAAATCAAAGAGCGAAGAGATTGCAACATAACCGAAGGTTAACAATGTTCGAAGATGATGTATTGAATTCTGCGACGTTGCCTGTAAGGAGATGTCTCCAGGGAGAGAAAGAATGTGTGTGAGAGAGAGAGAGAGAGAANNAAAAAAAAAAAAAAAAAAGAAAACGAACGAACCAATAAGGACCGAAGTGAGGTAAGAAGCTATCGAAGGTCACATCGATTTTCAGGAACGTCGCATTCGTTGCGCGGCAGTACCCATCGATCTTGATGGGTCTTCTTCCGAGAAAACTCGTCTCTCGAGAAGCGGTATCGAACGGACGGCGTGTCCTCTCCTCTCAATCTGTTGCGATTATGGTTTCTTCGCGCTTCATTTGCGATAACCATCAGAATTCAAGCGAGATTGCTTGAGATATTGACTGGCTTATTGCGAAAAAATAAAAAGTAAATCTTCGGGATAAAATCATCAATTTTTTTTTTTTTTTTCGTACAATTGATTAAACTTCGTAATATTTTTTTGTTGGTGAATATAGGCCAGAGTTAAAAAAAAAAAAAAAATAAAACCTGATGCAAAAAAAAAAAAAAAGAAAATCGTTCTTTTCAAATCGATTGTTACGGACGTTTTGTTGCACAACTACGGTTACGCCGATCGTCAATTAATTGACGCAAATCGAAACATCAGCAGCCGGAGGAGATAATGCGAAATCGACACGGCCGCCACATTCGCGTTACTTGTTTTAATTATTTATCATCAAGTCAGTTTCGTGAAGCTTTATTAAAAGAACTTCGCGATTTATTTACCGATGACGTCCAGTTTGATAAGCGGTCTCGAGTGGATACGCGGGGGAGAAATTTTCGACGGCGCTTTTAACGTCCGACGGAATATTTCATCCGTAACTGAAATTATACGTTATTAATGGCGATCGCGCTTAATGCGAAATCAATAAAGTCAAACTCGGTTCGAGAACGTGCAGCTAATTAAAGTTAAATTGATATTCACATTGTGTCAACTCCGTCTCTCCTCTCTCTCTCTCTCTCTTTCTATGTGTTGCGAATCCTAACGTAAAGTTTTCGTAATTGAGGTACGACACCATCGAGTTTGTCAATTTATTCGCTGAATTTAGAAAAAACAAAATCGTGTCTCGCGTTGTTTTACGTATTTCTCCATGCGTGTGTAAGACAATTTTATTTTTTTGTTGAAGTGAGGGAACTTGGACGAAAGATAATTGCACATCAGTAAAGTCATGTTTCGGTAAACAAAGTCTTGTTTATTTTGAATTTATTTTTTCTTATAAAAAAATTGAATTTACTTTAACCAAAACAATGTTGCAAAAATATATCGCACATTTTTTCAAACTACAGTTGATAAATGTTGTTGCAAATTGGATTTAAAGCAAAATTGAACTGGTTACTGGAATGCGATTTATTATTGAAGACAATTATCTTACGCGTGTCAAAAAAACGGAGGGAACTTGGTGCTTACCGCTGTCGGCGTAAGTTTCGGAACCGTAACCGTCCTGCAGACCGCTGGACCACGTGCCCTCGTATCTCGCAGTCGAGGTGGTAGACTGTCGTACCCCGTAACGACCCTTGAATCCCTGAGTCCATTCTCCCCGATAAAGCCAGCGACCGCGGGCCTCCATGCCAAGACCGTGTCTCTTGCCATTCTGCCACTGTCCCTCGTAAGATGACCCGCTGAAAAAAAAAGCAACATTTGTTTTGACATTTAATTTTCTCTCTCTTTCTCTCTTTCTCTCTCTCTCTCTCTCTCTCTGTCTCAAAATGTCCTTCAATTTTCCGTTCCTCCTTTCTCCTTTGCTACAGAGTTCGTTTGTAAAACGTCTTCATCCGCGGACTTAGAAATTACGCTTCGAGAATCACGTTGCTGTTTACGCTTTTCTACACCCACGTACATTAGCTGGAAACTCGTCTAATTAACGATAATTGCCAACCGTGTCGCTATCGATAACGATGACGCGACGACGATGTGCTGCTCTCTTCTCTCCCCCCCCTGCCCCTCTTCGCAACATTGTTATGTACGCAGATCGAACCGGCAATATGATCTCGGGCACTTTACGCCCAAGAGAGATTGATTGTGCGCGCCTACGTTTGCTTTAAGACATTATTTTTATACGAAAGTTACAATTATCGAAGCTGCGCGAAAAAGAAACGTTAACGAAGCGCGAGCGAATTCTCTCCCTCGAGAGTATCACACGCTCTAAAGCTATAATTACACGCTCTAAAGCTAAATTTGCCCTTTAAAAATCTCATCCTCGAACGCATCCTCGTCGAATCACAACGTGCGCTAATTATTCCGTTTCACGTGGGCATGTAAAAAAATCCTTGTAATTTCCTGCCGATAATCCGGCGAAAGCTTTTTTTTTCCGAGCTTTCAAAGTAAAAGCTCGCGAAAATGAGAATGCTTTATTCCGCCGCGTCTTTTTGTCAGTCGATTATATTAAATGAAGAAGACATCGTGAGCAACAACACGTGCAAGAGCGCGAGCACGCGAGCGAGCGAGCGCGAAAACTTTCCCGCGAGAAACTTTGTTTTCCGCACAATAAACTCGATCGGGTGACGAAAATTCGCTTCGTTATTTGCACACCATCTCACCGGATATCCCGCGCGTTAATTACGCGTCGTAAACTTGACGCAAATTTGTTCTCATTTAATTATAAACAAACACATAACTGACGATAAAACTTGCGAACGTTACATTCGTGCGAGATAAAATTTCGAAATTCAAGTTCGCGCGATGTGATAAATTCTCGCGAAGAGAGAGAGAAAGAGAGAGAGAGAGAGAGAGACGATTTTATCTCGGATAAACAATTTTCGAATAGCGAAAGGGAAAGGAACGCAATTTCTATCGTAGCGATTCTTCTATTAAGCGGAAAATTGAAGGGGCACACACACTATTTCCGAACGCGAAAAGCAAATATTTTTCCCGATATAACTACCGTACTCCCGCGCGCGTTTCGACTGACGAAACTTTCTCACAACCAACGCATCTCCGAGGGTGTTGCTAGGAAAGCAACGTGGTCGAAGACCTTGCTCCACTTTTACGGCGGAAACGAAACGACGAATTCTCTCGGCCTAGATAGCGGTCGTGAAGAAGAGATGTGTGTCCGACCGTTTGTCTCGACCCTATTTTCTCTCTCTCTCTCTCTTTTATTTACGTCGCCTCATCCGTTCGGTCCTTCGGTTCTACGCGGTCGGGAAAAATCGTCTTACACGTGTTAGATTGTAACGACAATCTGTATTTTCACATCGCCCTCGTCTGTTCTTTTTTTTTTTTTGTTTTTTTGTTTTTCCGTCGCGTGAAATCTAGAAACCTTAATTTCCTCCTAATTGTCTCGCGCGCCCCCTTATTTATACTTTCTCGTAAAATATCTTCGAAACGAACATAAAAAACAAGACGGATCGAAAATTGTCTCTAGAATCTTTATTTCGACGTGTCCTATATAAACGTCTCGGAGAGCAACTTTATATAAATAGTGTACGTACGTGGTTTGAGATCAAATAATATAATCTGGATTGCGCGCATGTCTCTCTCCATATTTAACAAAAGGAGAAAAAAACTAGTGACAACATATCGTAGTTCGTGTTTCAGTTGCGAATTTATTACCTTTGTTTTTGCTTTGCATAAAAATCAAATTTGTTTGAGAGCGACAGTGGCTTTTTGTAATTCGAATATTTTCGCCCCAGCGATTTTTAAAGCGATCGAACCAATCGAGAGCGATTGAACCGCTCGAAACAACACACTCGGAGCATCTTCTCCGAAGGTCGTTTTTTTTTGTTTTTTTTGTTTTTTTCAAAAGTTCACATGTTTCTGTCTCTTTCCAAGTTTGAAACAAAAAATCTCACACAGACGCGCGGTTTTTCCTCTAAAGAATCGTTGGGGCAAAAAAAACTTGAATTATAAAACAAAACTCGATTATCTTCAAACAACAAAATTAAATTTTTCAACAAAGCAAAACGGTAATAAACTGAATATGTGTGTTACAAATATCTTGTCGCTATTTTCCTTTTCCGCTTGTTAAATATAGAGAGACATGCGCACAATCCGGGAATTATTTGATCGAACCCACGTATATACGTGACGTGTATCAAATCAACGTGAACGATCAATAAATCTAAATTACGACATTGCCGTCGTTTCTAGTCTGGCTTCGCGAAAAGGTAACTGCGCAAGATATCTTTCGGCGATAAACTTGTTAACAAGAAATCACGAGTGTCATTAGCAACCACACGGAAATAAAAAAAGTTTTGCTGCATAAAAAGTTTTTTTGTTTATACGCGGCCATCAAGAAAGTTCGTCGAGTCTATTGAAGATTTTTGTTTCATCAACAAAAAACCTTTTGTTGGAAAGCAAAACAAAAAATCTCAATAGACTTAGCGAATTTTTTAGCAATAATTTTCTTGCTGGCTATATTTTGCAATTAATTTTTTTTTTCTATTCTAGCAAAATTTTTTTTCCCCGCGATTGTTCGATTTGTGTTGCAGATGATTTCGACAATTATCCCCCGTCACACGGCCCTGAATCTCAGGTCCTGAACGTCTCGAACGTCCCGGTCTTCTGTTGTCCTTGCACTCGGGTGACCTAGTTCCGCAGGATCCGGGGGAGATTCCCTCTCCCCCAGATGTACACACCGGGATATACGTGTCAAGGTCCACTATTCGCTCATCTCGCGCCGCGCTACGTCACGAGTTTTCCAGAATTCGGCATATGCGCGACGTCGAATGAATGAAACGCGCGTTTTATTTCTCAATCGAAACTTCTGTCGCGCGCAAAAGTCGTCTACGTCTTTCAGTCAACAAAAACCCCAATCGAGAATTCTCTTCGAAACATCATTTGTCTCTCGACTTGAATTTTCACGTCAACGTCATGTAATGCTCATTACCAGTTTTTTTTTTTTTTTTTTTTTACTCGCGAGCAAAACGCGAAGACGCAACGGAATAATCGGTCTGAAAACCGGCACGCGCTCGTGTAACGGAAGCAAACCAGCTCAGCGTTTAATCTTTTGCGAACACCGAGGGATGGTTGTGCAAATCCCCAGTAGCGCGCCAACGCGAGGAGAATACAAGATTAATTCAGTATCAGCGAAGAGCGCAATCAGGCGTGCGAGCGCGGTACCCGTTGCATATCAAAGGAATTAATAATTTATCGTAATCTCCCGTAATGTGTTCCCTTATCCGCTCGCATTGTCGATAATGTCGACGACGAGTCGTATTACACGGAGAGAGAGAGAGAGAGAGAGAGACAAATTCCATGATACTATATAAAGCAGCTCTTGCGCATAAACTACTGTCTGTCAAAGTCTATAACAGAGCTATATGTACGGGTATCGAGAGCGCGCGATACCCCAACAAGTAGTCGATATCAATGACTGGTCTTCTCTCGCGCTTACCTAGGCCAGGTGTAGACGCCGGACACCTCGAAGCCGAAGTGCCAGCTGCCGGAGTAAGCTCCCTGACCCTTGGGACCGGTGCAAACCCCGTGGCCGTGGGCCTTGCCGTCCTCCCAGCCGCCGCAATAGGTCCCGCCGTCGTCGAAGTCGAATCTTCCGCCGTTGATCATCGCGCGATTGGAGGAAGCGCTTGCGGTGCCGGTCGCGCCAGGTTGCGCCGGACTCATGCCACCTGTTTGCGGCAATTGGGCGCCCCCCGCCACGCCGTTCGGCGCCCCGGACGGTTGCTGACCGGAGTATGGTTGTTGCTGCATGCTGGCTGTTGTTGCAGGCACTGTCGTTCGTTTTTTTTTCTCTTTTTTTTTTTTTTACACTTTTCTACCTCTAATCTTCGGCTCCTTTATTTCCCTCGTCGTTGTCGTCGTCGTCGTCGTCGTCGTCGTCGTCGTCGTCGTTGTACTTGCTCGTCAGCAACGTCCGCATGAAACGTCCTGCTCCGGATGTCGCTCCATTCTCGTTCACCTTCTCTTTCGTTGTGTCACTTTTCACACTGGATTTCTACAATAACATCGGAGGTATCGTAACGCAATGATCCACCGTATAACGATTGTAACGCGCGCGTCTCTGTATCGTCGGTGTCGACGGCGCGCGGGACGACGTGAGCGATATATAATAATATTACACACATACGCACACCACAGATCACATACACACACACACACACGCGTACACATACACGCGGTTCGTTAAAGCCGCGCCGCTCTAGCGGAAGATCGTAAACGAATTTCGGGACCGAAAGAGTAGCCGACGCCGCGCCGATTTTCGAATTGCGAGTCGGAATCGCGAATCACGAGCCTTCGAGGCCCCGAGCGAGCCCTCAAGGCTCTCGCCTGTCATCGCATCGCAATCCGCGAGGAGAAGCCGGACGGTAAGAAAGAATCAGCCGAGCCTCGCCGGGCCGCGCGGGTTTAATTTTAGTTTCTCGACTTCGAGGAACCGACGTGCGAGCGCGCGAACGTGACAAGCGCGGATATACATCTCTCGATTTCGAACGTTCCTCTCGTTTTTCCGATGCCGGGGAGAGATCGAGAGAGAGAGAGAGAGAGAGAGAGAGAGAGAGAGAGAGAGCGAGCCCACGCTCGCGGCGAGAGAAAACGCGCGCGCGGCCTTGAGAATCGAGCTTTCGGAATTTGGTACAACCGGCGCGAGATCTCTCTCTCTCTCTCTTTCTCTCTTCCTCTCGTAGCAGACGCACTTTTTGCTTCGTTATCTCTTCTTTCTCGTCTTCCTCATCTTTTCGCTTCCCCGCTTAAAACAATCTCAAAACAACACAATCCCGCGATATTTCACGCTCCCTCGACGATTTTATATTACTCTCGCTCGCAACACACACTCGCACACACACACGCAAACGCACGCACGCACACACCACACGCACACGCACGTGCCGACGTCGTTGTAAGATCGCGTAGGGATCGTTTGACGGTTTCTCGAGCGAGCTTGTCGAGAGAGTTCACAGAGAGAGTTTTGATCGAGACACGCGTTCACACAGCCTTCGCGCACACAAGCCCCTTGGAGATCTCTTAGGCGCAACGCCTAACGACGACCACCATAGAGGATGACCCGCCGAGAATTCCCTGCGCGTAAAAAACGTACCCCGGTGTTTTCCTAATCGGAGTCGTCGGAAACTAGACGACGACGAGCTCGACGGAATCGCGATTTCGCTGTCCGCCTGACGTCGTTACGCAACGCTTCTATAAGCATCCATGATCCGCTCGGAATGTAGATCTCTCTCTCTTCTTCTCTCTCTCGTTATCTCCGTCCTCCTCTCTCTCGCGTACGCGCGCGCGCGCGCGCGCGATCACCCGACGATCATCCTCGCGCGAAAGCTCTCGTCTCTTCTCTTGCGATCGCACGTTTTTCTTCGGGAGAGAGAGAGAGAGAGAGAGAGAGAGACCCGATCGCGCGCGGATTTTCTCCGATGACTCATCCGCGAGATCTACCTACTGGTCTGATACGACTTCGGTGACTAAAAGATCCACGGGACTGAGAGATCCCACGGCGACGGCGACGGTGGTGGTGTGGTTCTCCGACGAAGAGCCAAAGTCTCTCTCTCGTGAGCGATTCGCGAAGTGGAAGTGAAAACGCGCGAAGAGAAATGCAGAGCTGAGCCGTGTACATACACTTTGCCCGTATATATACACGCGAAAGCACGTACAAACACACACACACACACGCACCCACACATGTATAAAACCAAGCACACACGCACACACACACACGTGGAACCCGCACGCGGACGCCAGCGCGCACCTTTTTCACGTCAACGGCGGCGAACGACGGAGTTGCAGATCGGTACGCAACATCAGCAGCAGCGGCAGTAGTAGCAGCAGCAGCATCATCATCGTCGTCGTCAGCATCCGCACAAGCTCAATTGCGCCGGTGCGTTGTTCGTTACGTTTGTCCGTCCGTCCATCCGTCCGTCTGTCCGTTCGTTCGCTCGCTCTAGAGCGGCTAGAGCGGTGCCGCGCGCGCCTCAGCTCTAGCAGCTTCGAGTTCGGCTAGCTGGCTAGGAGCTTCTATTTTTACCATGGGGTAAGAGCGAATTGTTCCCTCTTACACGAGGCAGCGGCGGCGGCGGCGGCGGCGGCGGCGGCAACAACTCCGTCGACTCGAGCGGCGACTTCGCCAACACGACCGGGTTCGAACCACTTATAAATAGTAGGAGTTCTCGCACCGCCGCGTAAAATCATCGAGAATTCGCGCGATGAGAGCGGCACCGGCACCACCCGAGAGAGAGATATGCTCCGGAGAGATGCGATCTTCGCGGCTTTGACCGGCTCTCTCCGGTTGCGCCGGTATACACACCACACGATCGCCAAAACGATCGCCCCGAACACGTGCGAACACGCACGGAGAATTCGAACGAGGATGACGATTTCAAGGCCACACCTAGGATAAGAGGGCGACGTTATATCGTTGCCCGAGGAAACGTCTTGGTCTTAAAACGAGAAGAGAGAAATTCGTTCAGGCGTCAACAGGAATGGATGTACGTACTTGTGTCGCGCGAACGAGTGTGTTAAAAAAAAAAAAAAAAAATGAAAGATCCGATGGGGTAACAAATGTCCCGCCAGCTCGTCGAAGACGTCGTCAATCGACTCTCTTTCTCCGCAGTGCTGATTTTTAAAGGGAAACGTTGACAAGGGGAAGAGGCACGTAACGTGGAGCGCACGGTGTGTTCGATCAACGAAAGGTGAAGAAGGGTACCGCGCATCGGCGCGAATGTGTGTCTATAGACTGGCGTCTCTCTGGGGAGAGGGGAGGGGGGAAGAGGGGCTGCATTTTTAATGGAGCGCGCGTAGCGGCGCCGATATCGGTCAGTTACTCCCCCGCGAGATAAGAACCGTGGCTCTCCGGAGAGAGGGAGGGAAGCGGTGGGAAGGGGGGTGTCCGAGCGTGCCCGAGGGGATTGCACACGGAGAGAGAGAGAGAGAGAGAGAGCGCGAGGCGAGTCAAAGTCGATGATCCGTACAGGTCTGACGTTATCGTGGGGGTTTCTCGCTACGCTCTATTGACGGGCAAACGAAGCCCCCGTGATAACGTGCGGAGAACGCGCCATTATTTATCGACGCGTGTCATTCTTTTTTTTTTTTTTTATAACACAGATCAATTAATCGATGCCCCCGCTAATAATAATGGCGCTAACGAAAAGTGACGGACGACCGAGCCGCGACTTGCGAGAAAGGTTCGTGAAAATGAAAAGAATATCTTGCGACAGGTGCCTCGAAGAGAGGATGTGACGGCGCTCTGTGCGAAAGAGAGAGAGAGAGAGAGAGACAGAGCGCGGATCTGTTACCCGAAAAGGCGACGAGAACTGTGCCAGCGGAACACAGTCTCGGCACAATCTGTTTATTGCGCGAGACAAGCGCGTACACGCGCGCGGTCAAGACGGCGAGACCAGAGGCGCGAACTGACGAATGCAACAAAGAGAGACCACAGGGGCCTTCCCGTCATTTGTCGGCAACGCCACGACGAAATATTAGACGCGACGTTAATGCAAAACGCGGTGTCGGAATTCTCTAACAACGATTATTTCCTACCCCGCACGCACGAATAAATACATTTATATCTGCTACTAACTAACGTAACGAGACGATAAAACAAAGGGAACAAAAAAAAAAAAAACGATCCTTTTCTCTTTTTTGAGCAATAAATCTTCATTAAATAACTAATAGATTTCGATCCGCACGATTTCGCGGCCCGCGATTGCTTAAATGATCAAACTCGCGGCGAAGTTTTTTTACCTCGCAAAAATGTATCTCTATTCGCGCGATCAAAGAATCTCATCGAAATAGAACAGACGCGCTCGAAATCGGAACGTGCTCCAGATTCGATTACTTCTCCATCGAAAGAGGAACGAGAAAAGCGGAGTTTTTAATCAAGAATCGAACACTTTTCTCCCGTCTTTTGCATATTTATCCTTCCTTAACGTTTTTCGCCTCTATTTTCGCAAACGTCTCTCGTTTCGCACGTACACACATACACACAAACTTTCTTCTTCGAACAAGTTCTGCAAAATGAAAGAGAGCGGTTAAACTCTCGGAGAGAAAGAATATTCTCTTTGTAAGAAAATTATTTAAAACTTCCGATAAGAAAGAGAGAGAGAGAGAGAGAGAGCTACTTTTTCGGATTTCGAGAGACACGGGCGCGCGCGCGCACACACACACAGGAGAGCGGATTCAAATTTAAGAAAGAAAAAACTCTCCAACGTTTTCCAATAAAAGCACCGATATGAATTAAAAAACAATTCTCGGCAAATTGGACACCGTCAAAATGCACACTTTCGCACCAATTTTTACATGAATCGACTTCTCGAACGTACACGTCATCTGTGTATGTACACATCTCCCTCTTGTGCGCAAATTAATTCACTTCTAACCGGCGGCTCACTCCAACGGAAAAACGAGTCAATGCAAGAAGGAAGAAAAAAAAAACTGTGTGAACGTGGTTTACGTGTCGTTACGGCGCAGGATTTGCGCGGACACCGTGACGACGGGAGATAGAGAGAGAGAGAGAGAGAGATCGGGTCGGGGATCAATGACGTCGCTCGTTAGACGCGGATGATCGCTTTTGCGAAAATCCGCACGCAGCGAATAAGACGCATATGAGCGCACAACAGCCTCGGGGCTCTCGAGCACACTTCCGGACGATCGATCCGGCTCGGTCCTAACACGTGCGACGCACAGCGCCGGCGGCGTCGCCTCGCAACCCTCGGTCTTTTTCGTTTCTTTTTTTTTTTGTTTTTTTACTCTCCTCCCCTCCCTCGAAATCCTCAAACACACGTGCCACCCCCATAGATGCGAGTGCAACCGCTCGTTCGTGGTGCCGGTCGCGCACCACGCTGCGGCCGTCGAGCTCGTCGAAGAACCGGGCCGGGGAAAAAAAAAAACGGCGTTTTTTGGGCGTCGCGTGCGCCGGAGGCGAACCCCTATACGTCGGGCGAATAAATACCTTTACGCACAAAACGCAGCGACGAACGAAGATGCACGCGACGTGTATATCCCTATTTCTAATATGTGTCACGAGGACAACGGCTTTCCCACACGCACATGTATACCAAACACGCGACCGTGTTACTGCTAGCTGTTTGCGCGTCGACTTTTCGGAGTCGGAGGAGAACCAACACACAACAAGTTCCCCGGAATCGCGCGTCCTCCTCCTCTCGATCATCGAATTCTCTCTCTGCCGCCTGCGGTCGATCGCGCACAGGTTCTCGTTTTTTTCGTCCGAAGCGAGATCTTTCTCGTGTCACACATGCAACGCGCGCGAATACGGTGTAGGTAATTCCGCCGGACAATTTTCCGCGCTCTCGTCCCCGCTCGCACGTCGACATCGTCTACTGGAAGCGAGGGCTGGTACCAAGAACGGACGAGTCGTCAGTGGAACCGGCCGGTCCTCCCGTGCGACGTTGAGTTTTCCCCGGCTCCCGTGTGCGTTACTAGTCGAGGAACGCTCGTCGTCGCCGTCGTCGTTGTTGACGTCGTCGTCGTCGTCGTCGTCGTCGTCGTCGTCGTCGTCGTCGTTGTTGTTGTCGTCGTCGTGGTCGTCGTTCCACCTTCCGTTCGCGGGCGGCGGAATACGCGAAAAGATCTTCCCCTACGACGTTGACGCACGCACCGTGCTTACGGGAATGTGCGTGAGGTCAGGGTGGCATGATTACGACTATCAGTCGCGCAGTGCACCACTTTCGGCGCTGGACGCACCACCACCACCACCACCGCCACCACCACCATCAACTACCACCACCAACATCTCTCCGTCGTCGCGGCCGCGCCGACGCGATTATGGCGGCGTCGCGACGCCTCCGGAACTACCGCTACTTGCGCCGCGCATGATATCTTCTTCTATTTTATATTCCGCGCCGGTTTATCGACGGTATTCTCGAGAAAATTGTTCGCAATTGTGCGTTCTTCTCCCAAGGAGGAGGATATTTTTTTGCCCGCGCGCTCCTCGGGTCTCTCGGTTAAAACAATTCGACGGCAATAAAATATGTAACGTATAAATTGGGTATATTTAAAATATTTAACATTGCGAAATTGAGGAGTGTCTATTCTAACGAGAAGAACAGTCACATTTTCGCGTTCGACTTTTCTCTCCACTTCTATAGAATAATAATAGTAAAGAATATATATATCTCTCTCTAGTAAGCACAAAAGTGACTTGATGAAAGATTACAAACGTTCATCCAAAGTGTTTTCCGCTGTACCGGCAGTCGGTTAGCAAGTTGCCGCGCATTGTTTGCATTTTTCAACTATATCCGCAATCGACCATATGCATTTTTCAACTATATATATATCTGCAATCGAGCATATTCGAATTTCGTCGCACTATATCGATTGAGGCGATATCTCTTGTCGATCAATGCTCCCGGGTTATCTTCGAGAGATGTTTTTATTTACATTTCTCACACTTCGTCAACTCTGACGTCTACCGAGATTGCTGACTTACTACTTCAGCAGTTTTTTTTTTTTTTTTTTTTTTTTTTAATATAATATTGCGCTGTTTTATATACACAGGGTGACACAGTTATGTACTCTACAAGATTTCGAGAAGTGATTTCTCACGCTACTTCGAGTCACAAAACTTCATACACGTTCGAAATTGCTTTGGCTTCGAAGATGCGGGATGTCAAAGCTGAAGAAAAAATTTCATATTTTTGAAAATTTGAATAATCCACTCGGATTATGTTAACGAAACTCATGTTTGAAACGGACATAAAAGCTCATCTCTTCAATACTTACTTTGTTGCTTTATTCAATCGGGGATCAGGATTAACTACACCTTGTATAGCGCGTGTATCAACACACAACAACACAGTACGCAGAATCCCTCGCAATTGTGAATTTTTTTTCTCGACCAACAAACTCTGGACGGTTTTACGAGCCACAGTCAGTGATTTGCATTACGTCCTCTTCAGCCAGTGCTCGTTGAAAATTCATGAAGTGTTATTAATTTCTGTGCGCGCGCTTTACACATTATATCTCTTCATCTACAGCCATCCACCGCAGAAACAAGAAGAGCCGACTTCTCAGATCTGACCGCGACTAATCCACGCACATAGTGTGTGTGTGTGTGTGTGTGTGTGTGTGTTTCCACACGTAACATATGCGAATCGCCAACACGTTTGATTAGCACGATACGCGACCAAAGAGGATACGTTGTGCGTGCACGCATCGGGTTTCCAACCAGTAATAGAATTACTTTCCCTTCCTGAGGGAATTGATTTCTGTCTACGGCGATTCAGTCTACGCCATACGATGTCCCTTGACAGACAAAGTCGACGGAAACGCACGCTCTTGTAGGTGAATCCGTCGCGCACAGTCTCGAAATCGTTGCGCGACAACAATTTTTGCTCGACAGTTCGCGTAGAGTAAAAAACCGAGCGCGAATTGATAACTCACGCAATTACGATAATATTTGCCGCGTTTTTTCTTTTTTTTTTCACCTGTCAATTCGAAAAAAAATTGGTTCAATTAACTGCACCGTTACGAATCTTACGCGTTTTACGCGCGCTGTGCAAATTGCATTCTGTCAATTGAAATTAGCAATCGCTTATCGCGTTTGTGAGACTAAACGAACGTGTGGTAAGTGATACGCGTTGTGAGACGTAAGAAGAAAGTGCGTAAGAGAGACGTAAAAATTCTCACGATAAGTAGTCGCTTATGCAATTCATATAATTATTATTTACAATTGCGATTTTATCAGTGCGCTCACGCGCACATTGCAAGAGAACTCCGGTTATGTCGCGTAACAAGAAAAAATTACATCATTTAGTAAAGAAAGTGAAATTTACGTTTTTTTGCACACATGCAAAGTCTACGCTGACGCAACTGCTATCGCGAAGTTATTTGCCAATTATTATCTCGCAATGTTGCTCTCGAAAAGCGGAGAGATCTTACAATTCAGTATTCGTAGTGACCTCTTGTAGAAAACAACAAACTCTTCTACGTCTTGTTCTTCGAGAAATCAGTGTGGTTTTTTTCTCTTTTTCGGTGATCGTAAATTTCATCTCTCGGAATCCGATATCTCAGGTTCAGCGATACGAAGTTTTTAAATATATATATAGTTAAAACCACAAAATTTCAACAAACATTTCAACAAGCGCTTGATTGAACGTTGTTCAAAATTTGAGAGAATTGGCAAGTAATCAATTCCACGCGATAAATATTTTAATCGACAATTGATTTTGTATATTCGCTCTATTGATAAATGAAGTGATTTGATTAAACAAATATTGTTGTATAAAATCAAAATTAATAAACATATGTGTATATATATATATATATATACATATGTATATGTGACATTAATTTGCAATTAAATCCGAGGTCGTTGAAAATAATTTAATACAATAACGATTGCAGAACGAGCGCTCGCAGAACGTTCAGCAACATGGATCTCTTGAGTTTAGGTTTCCGTTCTATCAATTTGGATTCATTTCTGCGGATCGAGAGTGACGACGTTTCGGACATGGACGACAGTAAAGCGAGAGAACGAAAACAGAAACGGATACCGAGCAGGAAGGACTCGCGCGACGAGCTACGAGCGATCACCCTGGACGAGGTCGCTTGGCACGACTCGCTCGACGACTGCTGGCTGGTGATACACGATTACGTGTACGACTGCACGGAATTCATAAGGAGTCACCCGGGCGGCCAGGACGTTCTTCTCGAATACGCCGGACGTGACGCGACTCTGGCGTTCATAGGCACCGGACATTCCGCCGTTGCCCGAACGGCTCTCGAGCAGTATAAAATCGGCGAACTTCCGCTCGAGGAAAGGATCTTCCGCGTTCCCAACGGCGTGAAAGTCTTGGGATTCTAATTCGCGTACTTACTTGGTAATTATGGATAAAACGTTGTCGTCGCTGTGATAAATAATTTAAGCACTCGCACGTTACATTAAAAAAACCGAATTATTTGTTATAATTAGCACAAAGAAAAACCACTCGTCTGATGTAATTTGTTCGCGATCGAGCATCTTATCGTTAGCAAGTTTTTTATTAGTACTTGCATTCGGCGAGATAAGGATTATCACGTCATGTTTGTGATAATGCAAAATTTTAAATAGCAATGTGAGGAAACAAACGTATCTCTAAATCTATATCACAAGTAACATCATACGTGTATACGGTTACCGTCTGTGATATGTAACTCGTATGATATTAAGATATCGTAAATTTCATCAGTTTCAATTTACATCAAGTCACACAAAAACAAGTATCGGTATAAGTGTTTCCATCTTCTATAAGCAATACGTTTGAGAAACTATATTCTGTACTAACTATATTCTATACTAATATTCTAATCTTCTTAATTATAATCTCAATTAATTGTCTAATTCTATATATTCTGTATTAAACAGAGAAAGAAAGAGAGATCTTACATGTACATAAAATATTTTTTTAAATAAAATAAATACAACATATTTTACACACACATATATGTAGGTTATAGGTCTGTAATTTTGCAAAAGTTTATCATTTAAATGATAATAACAAAATATTTTTTTTAATGTAAAAAACGACGATAACTTCAGATTGATAACATTTGCCAAATGTTATTTACAGTGTTCCAACTGAGGATATGAAATTAGAATCAAAATCGAACGTTTTTAATTATCTGAAGTAACCATTCCGTTTTGCACAACATCCTGCTTATTGGTTCGTTAGTGCCGTTTTTTCATATTTAATTGGGATTAACCGACACGTATCAAAAGTCATTTCCTCATTTAATCGTAATAGTGGTTTATTTTTTATCTGAGGGAATAAACGAGGAAAGAGTGAAATAACGATTAAAAATACTTTACATCGGTTATATCATATATTTCTCGATCGTCTAACATTTATAATATACACAACATACATACAATTGTGAGATATATAATAATATAGCGATGTTGCTCGATTTTGTTTATTTATACACTGTTGACAGATCGATTGACAATAAAACTCTCTCCATTTTTTTTTTTTTTTTTTTTTCGAGAATCAAAAAGCGACCGTTCGTTTTATGAAAGTAACAATGTATTCAAAAACTTACCGCAGTAGATTTTATCTACAATTAAATACACATAATAAATAGATTTTATACTGTTACGTTCAGTTTTTCGTCATAAAAGGTTACATATATATATATATATATATACGTATATATATGTATAGAAAAATATACGTGTTCGCAAAGAGTTCAAGAATAATGAAAGAAAAATCAGGGAATATACATGACACTTAATATACGCGTCGATCTTTTTGGAGTCGATCGATATTATGCTACGCTCTCAATCGATCTCTTTAGTTTTGCAATCGTTTGAAAATCTCACTGATAGAAAACCTTTACAAAAAACCGATAGAAAAATGTCGATATAACGAATTCTTTTTTATATGTTAAATACAGATTCTATTTTACAGTTGAACGTGTCAAGTTTGTGAATTATAATACGAGAATTATGTATGTGTGTGTGTGTGTGTGTGTGTGTTGTGTTTGCAATAGCGTAATATATTTCTTAAGTCTTTTACGTATGTGTATAATATGCTCTATGTAATTGTTATATTTTTTGTTCTTCTTTACACACTCAGTTTTATCGCGCTAACAGCAGAGCGAGAGGAATTTAACACGTGGAATTCGCTCGAAAGACACTCAACTTCAAAACTTAAGATAATATGGATCTTAATCTAAAAACCTATAGTTTTTTTTTTATATTTTTTTCTTAATTTAAAGTTTTACATATCTACGTGTAATAATACCGACTACGCTCGGTGTAATTTGTTGCGCGTTTTTTTTTTAACGCCCACAAGTTGACGCTACGCTCTCTATGTAACATATCAACATGTCGTTAACACCAACTTTACACACTACTTGTTTGATTTGTATGTTGTTAGGACCGTATATATATGTATATGAGTTTTTAGATACTGAATATAGCATTCCTTTATTTTATACACACATACATTGCTTGTATACCGTATGTATAAATACACACGCGCTGTGTATGGTTTTCTTTTTTGTTTTTATACACAATGCGTATATATAAATATATATATATATATGTAAATATACGCGACAGTTCAAGACAGCGGAATACGATGTTACATTATCTGAAAATAACGCGTGTGTGTGTCGCATCAACAATTTTCTTACACTTACTTTAACATCGTTGTCGCTATGGATGTTACGTAAGAAACAAAACCACAACGTCAGTGTGATCTTCGCACACAGCAGGTTCGCCAAGAAGTCAGACGAGTTTACACAGATCGAGGTTGTAAAAATTACAACGTACCTTAAAGTAACGTGCTGTTCGACTTTGTTTTTTTTTGTTTTTTTTTGTGTGAAACAATCGCATCAAACAATCGAAAATTTTCAATTATCTTCTCTTCAGGTGACGCAGTCATATATTATCCGACGCGAAACAAATCTTCTTCAACCGACTGTTCTTCAAAAAGAAAAAAAAAAAAGATACACCCTGTTGCGTCGGATAAAAAAATTTTATATAGAGAATGTGGAAAATTGAACTCTTCCCTTCTCCTTTTACGTGGTTTCAATGTATGCAATGTCATCCGCACGATTCCCCAGAAGCTCGAAAGCTGTTCGACTGTCTAGTCTAAAAGGTTGGAAATGGTCTCTTTCTCTCTGGCGATCTGGAAAAATCAGGACGCGTTCATTATCCGTCTTTGTTCACCGTGTAACCGAACGGAACGCACAACGGACTGTATCCGATCTATTTCCAATTGCCTTTTCGGTTTCCCTCGGATCGGTCCGGATCACCAAGTTTCCCTATTTCCTTTATGGACGCGCGCGCGCGCGCCCCGAAATGGCCGGAGTTAGCCGCGACATGCTGTCACACAAAGTTCCGATTTCCCGCAAATAAAAAAAAAAAAAAAAAACTCGCTCTTTGTTCGACGACGATGTGTACCTCTTTCGGGGACTGAAATGCTCGAAGGATCTATTTGCGCCTCGAGCA